ATCATGACCAGTTTCATACAAACAACATAAATCATGTATATTTTATAATTATGAATGTTCGATTTTGAGTATCAAAGATTTCGTAGAAAGAACAGTAAGTGATGAAAAGAAACCTCTTTTCCCCAAGGAGTGTCCTTCTCATAGGTACAACTAGCGATAATTTTTGAGGTCTTTTCCAGTTCATCAACAGTTCTTCTTTCATCAATCTCTTTGGCTTCTGAGTTTTTATGTTCTCCATAATCTTTAGAATACTTTGCTCCAGAGAGGCTTTCTCTTCTATGGAAACACCCGGTGCCACAATCCAGCCGCGTCATAGCCACCAATGCCAGCAAGTTCAACCTTCACAGTCATCAGAATGATCCATTAATAAAAAATTTCTCATCAGGTAAGACCTAAAACCGGGTACAACAAGCGAATCCACACCTGATGACAACGTGACCACAATTAGAATAGAGATCATTTTTGGTGATATTGTTGTAACTTTTGGGATGTTGCATAAAAGCATTTCAGGGCCTCTCTTTTCATCCATGAAGAACACAATGCCTCTCTTACTGCATCCGGATTATTTGCATACATGTCACAGTCCACATTGAGGATATGTTCCGTTTGCTTATCTCTGATGAAACTCTTATCTACATACATAATTTTTGTTATATATACTCTAATTTACCAGCAAAATTTGTTTTATCGAAGTACCAGTGCATTCATGCTCCAGCTTTGAATTTATGAGGCCATCCTGGCCTTTTCTCGCGTGCCATGTACACTAATGTTGGCATCTACCGTCTTCCTTATCCACAGCATTTTGTCCTTCCCATCAATTAAATCTGAAATTATATCACATAACATTACTTCAGATAGTATTACTTTCTCTGCGACTTTCACAGATGATAAAATCCATTCTATTACCTGCACAATCGACTGATGTTCTGCTTTGTTACTTCAGATATACCATTCCGAGAATCCTTTGTGTTGACTCCTTACTTCTTCGGAAATGCTTCCCTTTGCCATGATTGATTCGATTCGATGTTTCATGTCTTCGTATTTTTTCTTCAAATATACATAAATAAATGATAAATTATCAAGACATCCTAACAAGGAATTATTTGAGTATATAACATCAACAAATAATTTTACCTTGATAGCTAACCATTCCTTCAACCTGAATTACATTTTTCTCATCAGGCTGCTGAGAGAAGTAGGCTTCAGGGGACATGGGTGCAACTTTGAATTTTTTGCAAAAGGGTATCCAAAATTTAGAGAAATGAGAGGCCTCCAGGAGGGCGTAGAATGTGAACTCCGATCCACCGTCGTCAGATAGATAAACACTCAGTTTCTCGGGAGGATAATTAAGGACATCACTGATAAAACAGTGCTGATCACCAAAGTTGGTGGCTCCATAATTGGATCAGCTGTGCACACAAATACATCAACCCTGGTACCTTGTCTTCATATCTGTAAAATTTTATTAAGGTTTCTTCAATCATATTAATTCATATTAACTTTCATAAATAAACATTAACACATTATTAACATTTACTTCATGTCCAACTAAGCATTTATATAAATCAAAATTTGCACATGTTTCTCTACACATCACTGATGAAAATAATGATACCAAGTTCAGAGAAAACCAAACAAAACTGTTGTCCAAGTTTCAAGATAATAATTAATGAAAAGAGTGATGAACTGACCTCTGAGGAGCCTCTGAATGAAAGAAATTATGAGTAACATTCCAGCGAGCAGACTGAGTGATAATCCAGTAGAACTGAACAAAACTTCTGCAATAAGCATCCCAATCCAAGTCACTCTTCCTTCTTCCCACCTCTCGGAATATGCGAAACCTGTAAACTAACATCAAACATATCCCCGCAAAAACTGTTGCTGTAAACACCTTGAAAGCACTCTCCCCTTTGCTTGTTTGGTCTCAAAAGGGCTGCAGCTCAGCCATCTCTCTTAATCGTCTTCCTCAAAAAGTAAGATTACTTCAGCTAGTGAAGAAAAGTTTTGATGCAGGTTGCAGACAATGGAGTGAATGATATAGTGGTGAAGAAATATAGACAAATGATGTCTAGTCAATTATTTAACTGTTGAAATGTGAAGCACCGCTAATATGTACGCTTAAAATTCTTCACTAGATATTATTTCAATTATTATGGATTTGAAAGTCAGAAGAGATGGAGAAAAAAGATATCTATCTAATTTATATTATTTGAAATTGAATTATTAACTCTTCATAGGTGGGCTGTTTTCCCACTTCCATGAGACTTTGCAATAAGGCATATTGAATATACTTCTCCAGTGATTCTGTGTTAAACGCCTTTCATTCAGAGTAATATCAAATCAAGAGAATTCTGATATTAATTTCGTTTATCATCCCGTCTAATAATAATAATATATTTAAAACTTTTATTACATTTCTTTTTTATCTGTTCATATAAATTAAATGATAAGAGAATCTTGATCTAATACTATTCATTAGCTCAATTGTAGATCAAACCAGGAGAGAACCCTGATCCTAATACCGTTCATTATCATTCAATGATCCAACATACTCGACTTTATCCCGTTTATTCACTATCTGTAGTGATGGCAATGGGCCGGGCCAGGCGGGACCTAGTACCCCTTGGCCTAGGCCCAAGCCCGACCTCACAACAAAGGCCCAAACCCATCACGGGTATCACAAGTAAGCCCAGCCCGGTTCGATAGGCTTTTTGTAACTTCAAGCCCAGCCCAATCGCCTATTTTTAAAATGTGAATATTAAATATTATAATTTTCAATTTTTTTTATATTTTTAATTCTATAAAAAAAATTAAATTTATTTATTTTTTAATACTCACCAAATATATAAATAACTTTCCACAGTGCTCCATCCCTCCGGGGGTTTGGGAAAAATGAGTATATATATGTAAGATAATCTTGTAATTAAAATAAGTATAAAGGTAATTTAGTATAATTAATACTAAAATTGTCGGGCTAGGCCTGAAGACATACCAGACCCAGCCCGTACCTGAGGCGAGCCTTAAAGTCAAGTCCGGACCAAACCCAAGCTCGCGAACATCGGTAAAGCCCGACCTTTTCGGGTCGGGCGCGTATCTGAAATATCAGGCCTCTACCATCTTTAACTATCTGTCCAGAACCATCTTTTTTTGTTTTGGTTACAGAGTTGTCCATGTCATTTACGTTCACTTAAACTAATCTCAGATCTATTGACATTTACAAACTCAACAGACCAAATAAGCCACGATTTTTATTGTGTAGATAACCGCAATATTTAAACTTATGAACTCAAGGAAAAGAACAAACCTCTTAACTACTAGATCAACGAGATACCAAATGTCTTCGTAAAAGATGATGTTGGGGGACACGCTATGATGACAGCTGAAGAAGAATAAGAAGAAGATGCCAAAAATATAGAGCACTGAGCCATCAGCATCAGCTAAGTTGTTGGATTTCCTTGTTGGTTCCCTTTTTGTCATGGACGCTGGACGGGTCATGTTTCATCTATTTTGGAAATGGTCACGCACGGTGGAGTTGTTGCTATTTGATGGCTGTAAGCTGATTTTATTGATCGATAAAAACAAGAGTAAAGGACATTGCAAATTCCTACCTATTTTTTAACTTTGTTAAGATAAATTTTGCTTTGATCAGGTTTGACTGGTTAAATACTTTTTTTTTTTACCCCTTATTATAATAATGACTAAATTTATAAATTATTTTATAACCCTCAATTAATAGAATTAAAAAAGTAACTACTTTCTTTTAAATTTATTTCAATAACCCTCTTCTTCACCCTTGTCCACCTCTTTCTCTCTATCTCCTTATCTCTTCTCCTCTCTTTCTATCCTCTTTTCTCTCTCTCTTTCTCTTTCCTCTTCTCCATGGCTATCAATCTACCCCGATGTGTTGGTGTTGGTGTTGGTGGTGGTGGTGGGGAGTTGAGGCAGAGGAATTAAGAGTTAGAAATGAGAAATTTTGAAATGTGGAAGATTATTTTGAAAGTTTACTATTTGGGGGAATGAAAAAGATCAGGTTTTCTATTTTTTGGATAAGAAACTTAAATATCTCTTTTAATTGCTAAATTTAACGTTTGAAATTTAAAATTGGTGGGAATTGCAATTTATGAAACTATAGTGAATTTCAAGATTTTGCACTGGTGAAACGAAATTCGCCAAACCTTGGGTGGTAAGTGGTTTTTACTCTAAAACAATAACATATAAAATGAATTTTGATTCTGATTATCTAATATCTAAGAGTAAGAAACAATAATTTTTCACGAGAAAGTTTTCAATTAATAAAGCAGATCTCGAGAAAGTGCTGGTCTTCCTTGCCGACCAAACCCCTTACTTTAATACTTTAATTTTATTAATCAGGATAAGGAGATAATGTCAAATTTAAGCATATATGACAAACAACTGATTCATTGGATATCATAAATAATTAAAAATTTTAATCTGCCACGACCTTGACGCCACATCTCATGCCGTTGAATTAATATTAGGTTAATTGTATATGTAATTTTCATAAATCCAAAGATGACATTTGGTAATTAAGGCATAATAACAAAAAACAAGAGATATTTTTAAAGTGATTCGACTTCTTATAATGTAAAACCTACGTTTAGTGTTATATTATTGAGTATACTAACGAGTTAAGTTATACAACCTTATTCGATTATAAAGAATTATCTAACGAGTTTTCCTCTTGAGTTCTCTCTTTTTTTAGTCTAACTAATCTCTCTCGGATCCCCCAAATTGATTATAATTGGTTTAAATAAGTACATGTTACACATTGAATTGGAAATAAACCAAACAGCAAATAACGATATCTTCAGCTTTGATCGTAGAGAGTACAAGTACAGATATTAACTACAACGGGTTCCAGTTCCGCAGAATGTACAGAGAAAAACCTTTTAATATTCACAGCAGAAATCTTGGTGCCAAAGTGCGAGCATTCAACACTCAAATACAACTTTTATATATAATTATATAATGTTATATATTTATTTGAAATTAGCAGTGTACGCATTTGAAGTGGTCAGCTGTTGCGTGCATCCATGACCCCGGCAATGGAGCAAGCAGAGAGGAGGGACAATTATATAGTAAAATGTAGGCAAGGAGACTGGAGCCCATAAAAGATAAACACAGTAACCCATTTGGGCACCAAGTTTGATCTTTCCACGACCGTATATGAAAGGGCAATACTTCGAGAAAAAGATCTGAAACAAGCCCTCAGACCATCTCTTGAATTGAACAAGATGGATATCTAAAGTGTTTGGAGCAACTCCAACGAAGGCCCTTCTATGTGGATCGTAATACATTGATTTCCATCCCCTGCATTGAACTTGCAAACCTGTAACAACATCTTCGACTGGACAACCATATAACAATCCCATCTGCCAAGTTCATAATCATGATCAGTTTCATACAAACAAAATAAATCATATATATGAGTTTTCCTTTTTGAGTATCAGAAAGTTCGTAGAAGAGAACAGTATAGTGATAGAATAGAAACCTCTTTCCCCCAAGCAGTGTCCTTCTCATAGCTACAACTGGCGAGAATTTTTGAGGTCTTTTCCAGTTCATCAACATTTCTTCTTTCATCAGTCTCTTTGGCTACTGAGTTTTTATGTTCTCTATAATCTTTAGAATACTTTGCTCCAGATAGGCTTTCTCTTCTATGGAAACACGCAGTGCCACAATACAAAGCCGCATCATAGCCACCAATGCCAGCAAGTTCAACCTTCACAATCATCAAGAATGATCCATTAATAAAAAATTTCTCAGGTTCAGGCCTAAAATCCGGACTAACAACGAGCGAATCCACACCTGATGAACAGCGTGACCACAATTAGAATAGAGATCATTTTTGGTGATATTGTTGTAACGTTGTGGATGTTGCATAAAAGCAATTTCAGGGCCTCTCTTTTCATCCATGAAGAAACACAATGCCTCTCTTACTGCATCCGGATTATTTGCATACATGTCACAGTCCACATTGAGGATGATGGTTCCATTGCTTATCTCTGATGAAACTCTTATCTACATACATAATTTTTGTTATATATACTCTAAATTTACCAGCAAAAATTTGGTTTATCGAAAGTACCAGTGCATTCATGGCTCCAGCTTTGAAGTTATGAGGCCATCCTGGCCTTTTCTCGCGTGCCATGTACACTAATGTTGGCAATCTACCGTCTTCCTTATCCACAGCATTTGTGTCCTTCCCATCAATTATAATCTGAAATTATATCACATAACATTACTTCAGATAGTATTACTTTCTGCGACTTTCACGAGATGATAAAATCCATTCTATTTACCTGCACAATCGACTGATGGTTCTGCTTTGTTACTTCAGAGTTATACCATTCTGAGAATCCTTTGTGTTGACTCCTTACTTCTTCGGAAATGCTTCCCTTTGCCATGATTGATTCGATTCGATGTTTCATGTCTTCGTATTTTTTCTTCAAATATACATAAATCAATGATAAATTATCAAGACATCCTAACTAGAGAATTATTTGAGCATATAGACATATAACAAATAATTTTTACCTTGATAGCTAACCATTCTTCAACTTGAATTACATTTTTCTCATCACGCAGCTGAGAGAAGTAGGCTTCAGGGGACATGGGTGCAACTTTGAATTTTTTGCAAAAGGGTATCCAAAATTTAGAGAAATGAGAGGCCTCCAGGAGGGCGTAGAATGTGAACTCCGATCCACCGTCGTCAGATAGATAAACACTCAGTTTCTCGGGAGGATAATTGAAGGACATCACTGATAAAACAGTGTTGATCACCAAAGTTGGTGGCTCCATAATTGGATCAGCTGTGCACACAAATACATCAACTCCTGGTAACTTGTCTTCATATCTGTAAAATTTTATTAAAGGTTTCTTCAATCATATTAATTCATATTAACTTTCATAAATAAACATTAGACACATTATATAACATTTACTTCATGTCCAACTAAGCATTTATATAAATCAAAATTTGCACATGTTTCTCTACACATCACTGATGAAAATAATGAGTACCAAGTTCAGAGAAAACCAAAAACAAAACTGTTGTCAAGTTTCAAGATTAATATTAATGAAAATGAGTGATGAACTGACCTCTGAGAGAGCCTCTGAATGAAAGGGAAATTATGAGTAACATTCCAGCGAGCAGACTGAGTGATAATCCAGTAGAAACTGAACAAAACTTCTGCAATAAACATCCCAATCCAACTCCATCTTCCTTCTTCTCCACCTCTCGGAATATGCAGAAACCTGTAAACTAACATCAAACATATCCCCGCAAAAACTGTTGCTGTAAACACCCTGAAAGCAGCTCTCCCCTTTGCTTGTTTGGTCTCAAAAAGAGGCTGCAGCTCAGCCATCTCTCTTAATCGTCTTCCTCAAAAAAAGTAAGAATATTTCAGCTAGATGTATATATATATAAGCTAGCGAAGAAAAGTTTTGATAGAGGTTGCAGACAAAGGAGTGAATGATATATATGTGGTGTGGAAAATATAGAAAATGATGAACTAGATAATTATCTAACTGTTCAGTTCAAATGTAAAGCACCGCTAAAAGGAAAACCACACCACATGCATTATTAGGTTATATTATCTGAAATTATTGGATTCGACAGTCAGAAGAGTGGGACAAAACAGACGTCTATAAATAATTTTATATTATATGAAATTATTGAGAATTTTTTAATAGGTGGGCTGTTTCCAAGAGAGACTTTGCAATAACTAATAAGGCAATATTAAATTATACTTGTCCATTGAATTCTGTGTTAAACACCTTTCACGCAGAGTAAATATCAAATCAGGAAAGAATTCTGATATTAACATCGTTTATCATCCCGTCTAATAATAATAAATATATTTAACTTTCATTACATTTCTTTTTTTTATTTTTTTTTATTTTATCTTTATCTTTATCAGGAGAGAGCCCTGATTCTAATACCATTCATTACCATCGAATGATCCAAACATACTCCATTTTATCCCGTTTAGTCACTATCTGTCACAAAACCATCTTGAATACCAAATATCTTCCTAAAAGATGATCTAGGCGGACACGCTATGGCGTCAACAGCAGCAGCAGCAGAAGAAGACGAAGAAGAAGAAGGAAGAAGATGCCAAAAATATGTAAGACTAGCTTCAGCTATGTTGTTTGATTTCCTTTGTTAGTTCTCATTTTGCCATGCATGGACGCTGAACGGGTCATGCTTCATTTATTTTTTCAACGGCCACGCACAGTGGAGCTGTTGCTATTTGATGGCTGCAGGCTGATTTAACTTAATCGATAAAAACAAGAGTAAAGGACATTTATTTATACCTACCCAAGGTTTGGCAAATCACTAAGTTTTCACCTGTGGTCTTATAAATTGCAAATTCCCTCCTATTTTTAAACCATGTTAAGATAAATTTTGCTTTTGCCACCTTTGGCTAGTTAAATGCCCTTTTTACCCTCTTATTATAATAATGACTAAATTAATAAATTATTTTTCTAACCCTAAATCAATAGAATTAGAAAATAACTATTTTTCTTTCAAATTTATTTCAATAACACCCTCTTCTTCTCTGTCTTTTTCTCTCCTCTTTTCTCTCTCTATCTCCTTATCTCTTCTACACCTATTTCTCTCTCCTCTTTGCTCCCTCTCTTTCTCCTTTCCTCGTCTCCGCAAACACCAAATCTTGGTAGCCAAATTTGGTCGCCGTTGCCTGTTTCTCTCTTCTCAGCCTCTTTCCTTTTCTCCTTTCCTCTTCTCCACAGCTGCTAAATCTAGTCACCGACGGTGTTGGTGTTGGTGTTGGTGTTGGTGGTGGAGTTTGAAGCGAAGAAGAAAGGCTGAGTTGTGAGAAATTTTTGAGATGTAGAGGATTATTTTAAAATTTTACTAATTTGGAGGAATGAGAAAAATTAAGGTTTTCTATATTCTGGACAAAAAGACTTAAATACCCTTACTTTGGGTGGAAATTTGCAATTTATGAAACTATAGGTGAATTTAATAACTTTGATTCTGATTATTTAATATCTAAGAGTAAGAACACACATTTTTCTCGAGAAAGTTAACATATTAATAAATCAGATCTCGAGAAAGTGCTAGTCTCGCTTGCCGACCAAACCCATTACTTTTAATACTTTAAATTTAATTAATCAAGGATTAGGAGCTAATTTCAAATAATTAAAGCATAATATGACAAACCAACTGATTCATTGGATATCATAAATTAATTAAAATTTTCAATCTGCCACGATCAATGAGTCGACCATTTCATGCCGTTGAACTAATATTAAATTAGAGCCTGTTTATTATGAAAATTAGTTTATAAACAAATTTATAAGCTAATTTGAGCTTATAAGTATTTAAAATTTTAAATAGTTATATGTTTGATTAAAATATTTAGTTACATATAGTTTATAAGTACATTTTATTATTAAAATGACTAAAAATGATATTATCTTATTTTATCAAATAATAAATTATACCATAAAATTTTAAAATTAAATAAGGATAATATGGTAATATATTTAATCAAATTAGTTTATAAGCAGATTATTTAAAAGCTGCAAAAACTTTTTTTTTTTTTTTTTTGGTTTATAAACTCAACTTATAAGCCCCAAAAAAGCTATAAACAAATAAGTTAACTTAATTTTAGAGTTTATAAACTAGTCAAAACTAGATTATAAACTCAGACAAACACCCCTTTAATATATTTAATTTTCATAAAATCCAAAAGATGACATAATGTAATCAAGATTTAGTATAAATTATCATTAGATTATGCTGACTCAGAAAATTGAACCAACTAGAGATACGTGATTGACAAAGCTAGAACCACGAGTACATAATCCTGATGGATCAGTGATAAAATGATATAATGATAAATGTGCAGTAATAATCATAAAATAACAAAGAACAAAAAATACTTTTTAAATTGATTCGATTGCTTGTAAAGTAAAATCTACATTTAGTGTTATTCGATTGCTTGTAAAGTAAAATCTACATTTAGTGTTATGTTATTAAATATATTAACGAGTTAAGTTAGATAAAGTTATCCTGAATTACGATGAATTATCTCAACGAGTTTTCCTCTTAAGTTCTCTCTTTTCATAATATATATCTCAATATCTCTCGGATCACCCAAATCAGATTATAATTAAGTTTATATAATACCTACAACAAGATTGAATTGAAAATAAATTCAAACAGCAAATAACTAGATCATCGGGTTTGATTCGTGAGATATCTCTTGACCAAAAAAGGAATTATCCGCTGTCAATTTACAGCACGACAGATTATATAAATAATTTTTACTAAAAGCATGAATAATACCAAGTACAGATATTAACTGCAAGAGGTTCCACAGAATGTACAGAAAAACCTTGCAATATTCACAGCAGAAATCTTGATGCATGCCAAAGTGCTAGCATTCAACACACCAAATATAACATTTTATATATAAGTATACATGTAATTATATAATATTATATATTTATTTATGTAAATTAGCAGTGTTCACATTTGAAGTGGTCAGTCTGTTGCTTGCAGCCATGGCAATTATCAGCCACATCTCCTGATGCATCATCTTCAACCTTTGCATGAATTTCTTCTTCTTTCTGTTCTACTTCTTCATCCTTCTGCATCTTCTCCATTCTAGAAACACTCTCTCATTGCCAATATGTTCATGGCCGCCATGCCCTTGTAATACGCTTGTAAAATTCTCTTCCTTTCCTGCAGTCCTGCTTCTTTGCTGCACTGTGAATCATATTCTTCTTTGATGGTCGCCATTTTTTCAGGATTTTTTTTAATCAAAAGTTTCGCAAATTATCATCAGAATTTAACCTGGTTAGCTCACTCGGTGGAATGACAATAATAATTCGACACGTGCAAAATTTTCGTGCTGATGTGTCAAATTGGATTGACACCTGACAGCCCTGAGCTGCTTTTCTTTGGATATCATCATTGGTGTGCCAGTCTTTGCAGAGTCAAAAGGCCCAGGCCCATTTCGGAATTTTATGGCCTTTTTCTAAAAGCTTGTAATTTCTCAAGCTGTCTTGTCTTGCCATTTTTCTAACCTTCATTTAATGATATTTTGACTCACAGATTTAATTGGACGGTCTTAGTTAATCCAAGGAGCTCAACCACATTGAAAATGATACTTATTTAGTGATATTTTTCAGAAATTTGGTTAAGGGAAATTGACTCAGTTTCTCAAATTAAATGCAATGGATTAGATATGATAGGGTTAAACTTTTTAAACATCACATCTTCAAATGACCCCGAACTCTTTATTATCTATATAAATGAAAATATAAAGGACTCTTTTAGGATGTTTGTCTGAACTTATGAAAATTATAATTGCTTATAAACCAATTTTAGTTTATAAGCATTTGAAATTTTAAGCAATTACATGTTTGATTAAAATACTTATAAGTTACTGATAGGTAGTTTATGTATTTGGTAAAATGTGACTTATAAGTATATTTTATTATAAAATGACTAAAAAGAGTACTACATTAAATAAGGGTGTACTATGAAATTTTAAAATTAAACAAGGATAATGTGGTAATGTACTTGGTCAAACTAGCTTATAAGCAGAGTACTTATAAGCCAAAAAAAAAAAAAAATACCTCCCCCCAACTTATTTTTTTTTTGGCTTATAAGCTTAAAAAAGTTATAAACAAACATGTCAGCTTAATTTTAGAGCTTATAAGCTAGTTTGACCAACTTATAAGCTTAGACAAACACTCCCTTTATTCTCTAAATATAAATTTGAGAGTAAATTTAGCTCTTCACATTTAGAGAGTCAAATTTCACTCTTTATCCTAATTTTAAATAATACATTGTAACTTTCTATGCATTTTATTTATGATTTATCTCTCCTATTAAGTTTTTTTCTTGAAAAAGCATATTCTCTCTCCTAAAATTTAAAGAATCTATTGAATTTGATAAAAAAATTTGTTCTTTATATTTAAAAATCAATGAAGATGTTCTTTATTTATATGAAATATGCTCTTTAAAATAAAAAGCACCATTGAAGATATTCTAAGCTTACATAGAGTAATTTTTATCCTTTGAGCGATGAACCTTCCACTTGGCACCATGGGATCATTAAGGCCGACTTTCGTTCCTGCTCGACAGATGGGTTTTGCAATCAAGTTTAGCTCCCTTCTGCCTTTGCACTCGAGGGCCAATCTTAAGTGTACTACCATAAGACAGGGCCTCAAATATGCTATAAACATTCTTGGTTATAAACACATATACAAAGGGTATGAACCAGAGGCTTGAAACCTGAGAAACAATAGACAGAGTTAATGGATATATATATACACACACACGGCCATCTGGCCGTTTTCAGCCTTCGATATGGTCGAAATGGCTAGACTGGCACACGGTCAGTTGTGCATTGTTTCGGTGAATGCCGACAGCGATCGACGGTGGTGGCCTATGGCCTACAATCGTCTTAGGTGACTGGGGGTATTTTGGGTATTATTTATGTAAATAGTGAGGGTA